TCATCAGCATCATGTACATTTCAAAGGAGCAGATATGCAGTAGAGAACGCCTGGAGTGTGTACTTGCGCTAAGAGAACAGGACTACTCATATATTGTTACGCAGTAGAGACGTTTGTTGGACCTATTAAGATTTTAGCGCTCTCTAGTTTCAAGCTGGAGTATGCTTAGTGTAGGTACGGAAGTGCTCTGTTAGAAAAAGCATGCGACCTGATTCACAAAGGAACTAAATTTTTAACAGGGGACCTTTTTTAAGAATCTAGCTGCCAGTATTTCGGTCGCAGTTGGATGTTGTGTTTGCTTGTGAGTAAACTGGAGAGCATAACTATAGCGCCACGAACAACTTTCTGCTGTCCTCCACTCGGTTCAGTTGTAACTTAATATAACTAACTTGCAGTGATTACCAACCAATTTTAGCTTGTTTAGAGAGAGAAGGAGGATAGTCTTGGCTGATATTGTTAAGATACAAGCACATGCATTTTAAGATTGCACCCACAACAGAAATTTGATTTCATGATATTAATATACTCAGTGACAAGTGTTACACCCAGAAAAAATAATTTCTTCAATTTCATTTTTTGGCTTGTCTTACATCAAGAATGCAACAATAGTATTGTCACTAAATTTTATCGACAAGCAATACGAAAAAAAATAATAATGTGTTGGGCGAATGTACGCATATTAACAGGTCTGCCTTCTTCTCCAAACCATTGGTCAGCGATCTGACGCGTAGTAGCAAAACGGAATCGTAGGGGTAGTTGTCTGAAGCGCCTATCTTGACGCTCAGTGGTATGCCTCGGTTGACCAGTTGGCCTTTTTCGTGTTCCTCTACCTTCTTCTATCCACACACGACACACACGCATTACCGTCATTGCAGTACAATTAACACGGCGGCCAATTTCGCGATAGGACAAACCAACATCTCGATAGGCAATAATTCTACCCCTGCCAAAGTCGCTAACGTGGTGATAATTAAGACGTCTTCGAACTAGATGCGTTTTGTTATGCTTATCGCCAGTAAATGAACGGGTAATAACTATATACATATCTGTACTACTCAGCTCCCAGAAACTGCTTTCTTCACAAAAATTAAAACATACCATTTTAACAAAGGTAAATAAAAACAAAGATAAAACGTTGACGTTGTTACCACAGCATACTTTAAATATAGTCATTATGTTGCCAAAAAAAAAAACAAGAAATTATGTAACACTTCTAGAGTCACTGAGTATATTTTCAAAAATGTTTTCTTGATCTTCAACATTTCGCTTAATATATTGAATAATTATCTATATATTACAATATAATGTTTTTCAAATTTGGCATCTTTAGACCTCCGAATGTTTCAGTTTCATAACTAAGGTGTTGTTTTTGGCAACGTTATCAGTCATGCGAAGTTTGTCACCCTCTTCTCAAACCTTTGGTACAGCTTTTGAATATGCTGTTCAGCGTTTAAATGTGTTTAACTGCCATTTTGAGGATTTAAATTTCTCTTTCCAAAAATTATTGGATATAACTTGTTTTTTTTTGTTTTCCCTCAAATTAAGTACTCCTGTTGATCAATAGTTGTGATCTTTGCGCTGTTGACTCTCAATAAATAAATAATGGGTTTTTCTCCAGTATTGAATTAGTAGTCTCGAAAGAAGACTTCAACATTGTAAGTAGAGTTTAATTAACCCTTGCAGTGGTTCCTGATGAAATAAACAATCTCATAATCTTTGTACTTGCACAAGTTGAGATAAACATTTTTGCTGAGAACAAATGCACAGATACTGGGTTGGATCAAACATTATAGCAGCATAGTCTCTCAAAGTCCTATTTGGACAATTATCATTTTGATTGTCCAATCTCAGCCTAAAACTGGTACTCCAATCGTGATCTACGCATAACTCAAATTTTCCATTTCCCCGATGCGAGTTTAGCCAGCAAAAAATTCTAAATTCTCCAAACTAACAAGAATAAGTAAATGGTATGCTAGGAGGCATTATCAAATGATAAAAAAGAAGGGTACCATTCGTTACAAAACCTTGTGCCTATTACGTTAAGTCATTTCAACTGATAAAACTTTTGTAACCTGGAAAAGTTACTCAGCGAATAACATCCCTACGAACTAGACAATCGTCAGCGGGAGTAAGAACACCCGTAATTCAAAAAGCGACCGTCGTTTTAAAACTTTCCCGCTATTCCCTTCTAGTTCGGTAGGATTATATTTCTAAAATTATGCTTAGCAGAAATTATACTCCATTGTCCTTGTATAATTCTTTTATATCCCTCTGAATTTATCTGTTATAAAGTTCTTCCTTCCGCCTTACGCGACAATACTCTGTATTGTTTTGTTCGAAATATCTTCAGCTTCTTTCACCACCAGCCTTCTTGATTAATTTAGTGACTGCTTTCGTGGTACTATTTTCGCGGAAGTGTTTGGCGATAAGGGAGAAATATGGACTAATGTATCGTTTATATTGTAGCGGACCAAAGTAATGATGAAATATGTATGATGACACATATCTTGGGTTCCGTTTTTATTCCTATTATTAGACTGATGGCTATGAGAAAGAATTGCTGTAGTTACTTTACAGAAAAAAGTTATTGGAGCTTGCAAACTTGGGTTCGATAAAATGAGATAATGAATGCGTGTCATTTAAAATTGTATCTTGACTATATTATGATGTTTGTGTGATAACCCATATATAGTTGCCACCCACTTTGAATACCTGCGCAAAACTCCAATATGGCCTTCATAAGAAAAATAAATTGAATGACCGAGGATAAAAGATGAAACGTTATCTATTACTCGCACCTGTCTTTTGGAACTGTAAAGATATCAGTTCGTTTTTCTAGCCCAGTCAACACTGTGACCGCTTTAGGCTGGCGATTCTGGCGGTATAGTATGGTGATAGATGGCGTTTGTGTTGCCTTATTTCGATAGATCTCATACCGCGGATAAAGAATAGTCGCTATGCTTTCGTCCGTTGTCAGGAGACTAAGCATAGACCATGCTGATGAGTTGCCAAAAGCACGAAACAGTAGATACTCTGATTTACGAAACTTTCTTAGTGCCATTTTCGTAGTTACCTAATATTGACCGCATTTAACCGATTATGTATCACCTACCGTTTCCAAGTCCTCAGTGGTGAGGATCGAAATATAAACAACCGGTATGTAGTGTGAAATGGAAAAAATTGTATTTGTATATCCAAGATCCAAAATGGTAGTAAAATATTGCCAAAACAACTATAATCTGTTGAGAGATCGATACCTCAAGATACGAAATAGACACCCTAAAGTATCCGAGCTGGGCCTATTAGGAATCTATAAAGCCAGAACTTTTCAGCCGATGCTTTTAGACGATGCTGCGTTCGACCAACTCGAAAAAAATAATTGCCGAAGTTCCCTCTAACCTCCAAAAGAAAGAGAAAAACAAGAACACAACTTATTTCCTCTTCCACGTCTCCTATAACTTTACTTATAGACCAGTGGTCTTAACCACGAAGCACCATTTAAATGTATGTAATATACAGGGTGCAGTTAGGACATTTGGAGGCCAGGTTCAGCACGCACAAATATGTCTTTCTTTTTGCGCTAAAAACCGAATTAGTGAGCACACTTCAGAGTCGGTGGATTTACTGATTCACATGACGACAAACACAGTAGTATAACCACATAACCAGCACCTACAGATAGGATCAGCGGCCTAGTGATAGACTTAGCCAAGACTGTCTGAGGTTGAACGGAAATCACGTGACAGGATGCGCAAGCACGATGCGCAGTCGGTTCTAATTTTAAAAATGTCCCCTGAGATTTCGGCATTAATTTTTATATAAGCTAGTGGCGTGCGATTTTCGTTCAAACTTCCTATATCATGGAAATTGGAATTTTCGGCAGTGGTATTATCTAAAAAACCTATAAAACGTCAAAAAAACCTATACAATGTCATCTTGCAGACTAGGAGTAGTCTTTGGGGTGCAAACAGTCATTCCAGGTTTGCTCACTAGGATCGTTGTGAACATCCATCTGTGGAGGAATGGCTCAACTACACGTCTACACGCATTGTTGGTTGCATATGCTTTGTGATGCCAAGCAGTCTATAGTTTTCATCTCTGAGTCTCTGAGAAGAAAATTGGTTAAATAGCAAGATTGCGTCTGGATGATTGTGTGCATTAGTCTGCATATGTTTAAAATCAGTGATATTTGCGTTGTGAGAACATTATTACTGAATATGCTGGCCATAAAATATATCTATTAGTTATGTTCAGAGTTATAAATTCCAATTTTTTACGTATTTTGTTTTCAAAAACTTTGAGGAGAATTACGGGAAATCACCGCCCAGTCCGCGTTGTATGTAATTACTGTTAGCATGTGTATGACTTTCGGCAGTGTATAGTGAATATAATTATGTCTTATCTCTCCCATTTTTGAAATTCAGCACATTTGCATATCATGTAATTCCAGAATGGAACAAGTAAAACTGGATACGCAACTAATTTATAGCTTTGAATCTCAAGTAAGTGTATTTGAGGCAAAAATCCAAAGTAATTATCATCAACACATATTACTAGCACACAAATCCTCACTGTTCACCTCCAGTATTGCCATCTCTGAAGCAGATTTTACATGACATCAGAGCCAAAAATTGATAATTGAAGCCTCATTACGATTAGGCAACACGTACAAAAAGAATTCACGTCGTGTCCATCAGCTAATGCTAAGTTAACATCTTGTAGAAAAACCTACATAATGTCACAAAAAACCAATATAATGTCAAAAAAATTGACATAATGTCACTTTCCAAGATACGTAATACCCGTGCCGGACTCGTGCTTTTGCTTTATGCTATATTTGCCATTGAAATTCCTGAGAATATTTTGTTGCGAAATATGTTAAAAACTATCCATTTTTATTTCTTTGTTTCCTAACTGACACTATGCTCAAAATTAGTAAAAAATTTGCGTGACTTTGATTATAGGCGTAACATATTCTAATTTTTTTTAATTTGTTCTAGGTATGTTTTTCCTTGCCTTTACGCAGAACAGAAGGTAAGTTGCCGCCATGACTCTGATTCTTATTTTTATACGATTGTTGATAACAAATTTCAAATTCTTACATCACAAAGCCTCGTAACTTCTCGAACGTTCTTGTTTCTTGTTGTAAATCAGCCAATTATAGCGATCCACAGCAGGAAAGTTCAGAAAACTGGAAAGAAATTGAAGGAGAAAATCAAAGCAAAGAGTATAAAAGGAACCTCTCAAAGAATATTTGCATCTTGAACTTCTTCTACTTAATCTGCCTGTACTATTATTGATTTGCCATTACCTTGGTACTTTATCGGTGACTGCATTTGACTGTCCTTTATAAGGGAGAGAAGAACTATTGCCGTAGCGGCCCTAAAATACTTATCTGAAATATATGCACCCGCTCTTTGGAGGAGAAGGGATTACTTAAACGATTCCTAATCCGAGACTTACCGGTAATATCCTGGAAAGCAGTCTTGGAAGAATTTCATTTTGCTTTATGGGAGCAGGGAGGTGCAGATAAGTACGCATTGGCGGAGCAAAGATTGTTCATGAAATGTGATTTGTCCAATACAATCATTGCATTCATAATATGTTTGATTTCTATTTTGTACAATTTCTTACGAATCTGGTACTTTCCAGGCAATTGCAAATTCAAAAAAAGTATCTAACACGGATCTTCACAACTACAGACTTATAGCTCCGCTCTCCGTTATCAGAAAGGCGATAGAAGAGTGCATAGGGAGTTTTGAGAGTATCTCCAGCATCACGGCTTGATTAGCGACAGACAGTATGGTTTCCGACACTAACGATCAACGGAAGACATCTTAGTTTACGCCACACAATTGTGTAGTAAACTCATCTTGCCTCAATTTCAAATTTTCAAAATGTTGAAATTGTGCAGATTCAAAAAATTGGTAAATTTCCGAAATTAAATCCTTGCTTAAGGAACCTCGATAAGTTTAACTCGTCTCAGGTTGTCTCTTATTTCTTTAAGATAATCGTGATAGTTTGTGGTTTGGGATATCCCTTTGTAGAGCATGAGTATGAAAGGGTATCTGTCATTACCCACGAATATGTCAATAAAACATTATTGATGAGACTGGGCGTGGATAAAGGATGTGTTCCGTCTGTTTCTTAGCCCTACAGGGCGTCTCGATTTTTGTCTTGTCGGAGTGATATTTCTACATTAAACATCATATCTTTATTTAATGCTGCTCATCGCTGGCATGTCAGCAGATGATAAGGTCTCTTTTATTTCCGATAGACACGCTACCGTCGCCCTTGCCCTTATTTCCTTGCTAAGCATTATTGTCACTTTTTCAGGAGTGCTAGCGATGAAATCGTGATGGTATCAGACAGACAGACATGATTGGGGTACAGGGCGTTTTAGATAGCTACTCACGCCATAACTGAAAACAGAAATCTCCCTAAAAACAATTTGTTCTTGGTAGAGGAAACTGACCAAAAATTGGACGTTCATTTATTATTCAATTAAATAAACTGCAGCGGTCGTTTACTAAAAATGTTAACGTTGGTGTTAAATTGGGGTTATCGCAATTCCGGAAAATATTTTCAAAATTGTATCGGAAGTAGATACCATCTTTGTTATCATCGTTCTTTCGTTGACACCTACTATGTAACAATTTTTACTCATCGGGACCTTCTGAATATATGTTTAGTCAAATATGAGTTCCGTAATTTGATTTACAAGAGTTCCATAATTCAAAATAGTTTTTATGTCATTCTGTAAAAACTGCTTCTAAACACATAGAAGTTTCCATCAAAACAACGGTGCTATGTTACAATGGAACATATTAAATATCTTACAATCTTCAATGCCAGATTCTAAGTACATTTCATGTAAATCATCGTATTCTTGAGTCTTTGACATATCTAAAACTTTGCGTGAAAAATGACTCAAATGGAATGGATAATAAAATTTGTTTCTCGTATTTCTATTTTTGCCATATGATTTATAATGGATTTTTTCATGGTAGGAGGCCTAACTTAGTAGATTTTATTTTGGATTTGGATAATAAATAGTACAGTGTGGCCAAAAAAGACAATGTTAATTAGATTTTCAAAATCAGAAAGTTAGTTTTTTTTAATTTCATGGTATTAAGTATGTAAAGTAAGGCTCCCATATTGATAGTTTTCGAGATACAAGTGAATTTGGTATCTCTCTTGCTTGAATATTTCATAATGTTTCTACTATAACATAATACAGTTGGCCATGGTGGAAATCGAGCAAAACACTAAATACATACAGCGTGGCGCATCGAAAACGAAACAGACGCATTTACTGGCAGCTCAGTTCTTTTTTGGAAAAACGCTCTGACCCGTCGATTTTGTTTTCGAGGGGGACACAAGTTTAGCAAAAAATCACGTTGACACGTGCAGCCCGCTGAGCGGGGGTGACACCAACCCTAAAATCTTAAATGGAAAGGGGCGTCGAATGATACCTTATTTTAAAGGTCTTTCAAGTTCCTTTATAATGATGTAAACTACATGAGGTTCAGTTCAGTAATTTTAAAGATTTATTGATTTAAAGCTTAAAGTAGACTTTAGTAGGTACATCAGATTAGTTTGTACTACTTTCAGAAGAAATTTGACTAAAAGAATTAACTTAATAAGAAAATGCTTTTCTTCACTACGCACATGGTTTGTTTATCATTTTGTTGTTGAGAACAGCTATTGGAGCGTTTTTTGTGGCGAAAAAGTTATTTCTTGAAGAAAGATAAGGAAATATCTCGTACTAATTCTAAATAGGAATTTAGTTCATAGTTTGCGATTGATTTGACCAAACTTTATTGCTAAAATAACTTGTAACGCTTTATTACATAAATTAACCATGGTATATTCCACAGCAGAAAGAGTTGAAATTATCGAAATATTTTCCGGAAATAATCAGTGCGCCAATAGAACAGCAGAAATATTTAATGAGCGACATGAGAACAGTAACGTGCATCGAAAATATGTTCTAGAACTTGTAGCTAAATTTCGGGAAACTGGGCCAGTCGCCAATAAAAAACGCAACATTGAAAATCTCATAAGGAACGAAGCAATAGAAGTGAGGGTTTTAGGGCAAGTTTATGTAGATCCTACGTTAAGTACCCGCAAATTGGAGACTGTGTGTGGTGTTAGACAACGTACTATCCAACGGATTCTAAAGGCCCATAGTTTTCATTCGTATAAAATTCACCTGGTACAAGAACTTAATGAAGACGATTTTGATCGGCGATTACAATTTTGTGAAGATATGAGTGAACCAATTATAAACGATGAACATTTTCTATTCAACACTTGCTTTTCCGACGAATGTTCCTTTTTCTTAAATGGCGTAGTAAATCGTCATAACTGCCGATATTGGTCCGATTCTAATCCCAGAATTTATCAAGAGGTTCATACACAGCAGCCACAAAAATTAAATGTTTGGGCTGGTATTTTTGGCGATCATTTAGTTGGTCCTTTTTTCTTACCTGGAAATTTGACCGATATTTGAAATTACTGGAAGACGCCATAGATCCTGCCGGTACATTGCGAATAGGTTGATGTTCCAACAGGATGGTGCCCCACCACATTACGCATTACGTGTTCGACAATATTCAGATCAGACGTTTCCAGATCGATGGATTGGTAAAAGAGGTGCCATTGAATGGCCCCCACGATCGCCAGATTTATCACATTTGGATTTCTTTATGTGGGGTCATTTAAAAAGCAAAATCTATGCTACTCAACCAACATTATTAGAAGACCTGCGACAAAGAATTGTGAATGAGTGCCTTCAAATTACTCCTCAAACATTGCAAAATGTGCGGCAACGTTTTGAGCAAAATCTTTATTATTGCATGGAGAGTCATGGTGGCCATTTTTAACATTTACTTGCCTAACGGGTCAGTTCATTCTTCATTTTTAAATTACTTTGCTGCCAAATGTATTGATCTCCACTAATGATGATGTAAATTTTGTTTAAATCAACAAATCTTCAAAACTACTGAACTGAAGTACATTAATTTTATATCATTATAAAGGGAATTTAAAGACCTTTAAAATAAGGTATCATTCGACCCCCCTTTCCATTTAATATTTTGGGGGTGGTGTCACCCCCGCTTAGGGGGATGCACGTGCTAACGTGATTTTTTTCCAAACTTGTGTCCCCACCGAAAACAAAATCGACGGGTCTGAGCGTTTTTCAAAAAAAAACTGTGCTACCAGTAAATGCCTCTGTTTCGTTTTCGATGCGCCACCCTGTATAATGACGCTCTCGCCGCGCCATGACCAACTACTCGTCAAAGCTGCATGGATCATTTAAGAGAAAAACCAATATTCGGTGCAGTTCCTTACAAATCAATCCCCAAAAGTAATAACTTATTTTTATGATGTCACGGCGACATTTTAGGTTTACTTTTGATTAGCCGCGCGGCATTTCTGAACCGCAGCACCCGAGCGGCCAAATTGATAATAAAAAACGCCGTAGATGTTATAGGTGAACACACACACCGTTCGACGCGCCGCGACGTTTCGTTATTGTGAAACTATAAAAAAGTAATTGGATTGGGAGGCTGTAAAATACACCAAGCAACAAAGTGTACATTTTTCACTTCTAATTTGTAAGTAACAAGTGTCTTGTTTTCCGTTTCTGGGGTGGCCTATAAAACGTCGTTCGTTCCGCCGTAGAGAGGAAGTTGTTTACGGCTAGGCCAATAAAATGCAGTCAGTTCAGTTCGATGCTGTTTTCATCAATTATGTATAGAGGCATTTTCTATTATGGATAGACTCGGGGTTTTAGAACAGACTGAAAACAGAAATAATTCAGTAGTGTTCGAACGACTAATAAAGTATATGTTAAGGAGGCTTTTAAGTATCTTCACCATATTATCATGAACGTCAGAGTGCAGGGAAAATGAAGACACTCACCCACTTGTCACTCCATACTGATGGAAAACGGGATAAACCGAACGTTTAAGTTGACCCGCAGGGTTGTTACGTATAAAATCTGTATAATGTCAATAAAATCGATAAAAGGTCAACTTGCTGAGTAGACTAGTTTCTGCCGAGAGTATATTTCGCATCATATTAGTAAATTTCCCCAAAATAATTGTAAAGTCCGGTCTTACTGGTGCAAGCAAAGGGGTATTTAAAACATGGACGCATAAAATGGGTCACCAGTTTTTGTGGGAAAACTATTTATTCGACAACAAAGAATGAGAAGACTCGTTTTTTGGGATTCAATCGAAAGTGTTGGCAGGAATGAAAAAACTTTTCAAATAAGATTTTTAGGTATCTATGAGATCTACAAAATGAGATCACACGTAAAAAGATCCGACTAATAGGAAAAATGGTATGGCCGAAACGAGGCAAAATGCAGGTTTTGGTACTTGTTGGAAATGCGACGATAATTTCACGCAACTACTTAAAATTCCTCAAATCTGTAGGATTCATACTTGTAAATAATAACAAAAAAATTGGAGTATATTGATCGAGTAGTTTTTGAGAATTTTCAATTGTTTCTTCCAAAAACACCTGTTTTCCAGTCGTCAATACTAGCGTATTGAGCAATATACAGGGTTCGTTCAAAGAGCATTTAATAGCAAAATATGATTCACAAACCATTCCGAAAGATAAATGTTATTTTTATGCGAAAAACAAAGGTTACATTTTTTTTCTTCTAAACAAATTCAAACATTTCGTATTTGTGAGTAATTGAACAAATGCGCTACGATATTCGAAAAACATACGTTTCTATACACATTTTAAAACAAAGCGGATGTGTCTATCATCTGTTGTTGCGAATCACTCACAGATACGAAATGTTTGAATGTGTTTAGAAGAAAAAAGGTAATCCATCCTTTTTTTGCATAAAAATAACATTTGTCTTCCGAAAGGGTTTGCGATTCGTGAGTCGTACGAATTTGAAGAGTTTCAAGTATCTCCCAGAAACCATCGTCGCAATATCAAGTGCCAAAACTTGCATTTTGCCTCGGTTTTCGGCCATAACTTTTTTGATATTAGTCGGATCTTTTTTCGGGTGCCCTCATTTTGTAGGTCTCATAAATACCTAAAAATCTTATATAAAAAGTTTTTACGTTCCTGCAAACACTTCCGATTGAATTCCAAAAAACACGTTTTCTTATCCTTTATTGTCGAATAAAAAGTTTCCCAAAAAAATTGGGGTACTCATTTTATGCGTCCATGTTTTGAATACCCCCTTGAACAACTTGCAGCAATAAAACAATGCCTTACACTTATTTCGCAAACCAGGGGTATTTTCGTCCAATATGATTAGACTATTTGGATGATGTATTAGTGTCCATGATGTATACCTATTAGCTGTACCGGACCGGATATTTGTACTGTCCTTTCTGAAGAGAGGTTTTGTTCAATGTTATACATTACCATTTCGCCGACTTTTTGCGTTTTCAAAAAGTTTGAGAAGCAATACGGGAAATTACCACCGCCCCCGCGTTGTGTGTAATTAAGCCACACCATAGAACAATTAGTAATGACGGAACACGAATTTCCCTTTCTGCGGCATATTGTCTCAGCAGATGTTACATCACATCACAGCCAAGCATTGTTAGCTGAAGCGTGATGACGTTTAGGCAACACGTACAGCTACAAGACGAATGCAAATCAACTGAACAACAGCTAGTTCTGATTTGGTATCTTGCAGAAAAACCTACGTAAAGTCACAAAAAACCTATATAATGTCAAAAAAACTGGCATAATGTCACTTTTCAACTCGTTAAATTATTCTGGCACAAAAATCAGTTTAAAAGAACGACCGTACTTAATATGAGACTTTGTTATTCATTCAACAGTTTCAATCTCTGTGTAAAGTCTCAAAAAACACGGCTAACTGAAAGAGTAAAAATCCGATAATCCCACGTCAACCTCAAAAGCCGCGAAGTAAACTTTCAATAGTGCTTGAGCAATCCGGAAGGTTTCCTTTATTTCTATTTTCCAGTCTGGCGCTTCTACTGGCGCGGTATTTGTTCAGAAAGAACAGTGGAAGGAATTGAAGAAATACCCTTCCTTCCTACCTTCAATATCCATCCCGGCCCCACATAGTTTCTTCCAAACCTATGAACTCGCAATCTAAAAGGGTATTGAAGTGACGGGTAAAGTTGCTGCCAGTGGCGGAGGTATGCAATATCGGAGAAATGTGAGAAATATAGGAAGGACATTCCTGTAATATTTGAAGGCAAAGAAATGATTATGAAATTTTTCGACCATGCATATTCATGTGTCATGGTTATACATATTGTCAAGATTGAAACTTGGGAGTTAGTTCTGGTTCTGACAGGGCACTCTTGATTGACGCTGCAAAAAAGGTGTTGATCATAAAACACAGAAGTGCTTACCCGTATAAATAAACTCTGTTGAACACAAAATTATAAAATAGGTACTCCAGTTGACGCTGTCGAGCGCGGCTGGTCTCCACACAGTGTGTGCCTAACTAGTTTTTATAATCAGTAATATCCCCACTTTGGCTGTTAAGAATACTCCATTGCTGATTATGCATACTCATCATCGGATGTGGTTTAGGATGTCTGTTCGTCTGCTAGCGAGCTGGCGCGTGTAAAGTTTTGCACTCGTGACAATATTGTGTTGCCTGGGTATATTCTGAATGGAATGTGAATAAATGATCTCGGACGCTAGCGCAGAAGAGCCCAGTAAGTGGTCTATCTACCGGAGACTATTAGTATCAACTTCCTTCTTTTATTGTTTTCCACTTATTTCTTCAATACTCTTGACCGTCAAAGTAAAAAAGCTTATTTTCATTTTCACTGCATATATTTCCTTCTGTTGCAATTAGTCCTCCACTTAGAACGAAGAGGAATATTTGTTTGTAACGTGTGCGCTTAGATGCAGCATGTCTCTGTTCTATTGTTAGCAGTACTATTTGTGTCAGCTGTGGAGCACTTGAATGCCGCACACTTCACTCTGTCTCTTTGAAATGTAAATAGCACCACGCAAGGGCAACGGTCATACATTTTGACACTTTACATTCAAAAATAACTATACAAGAAGTTTCACAACTCTATACGGCTTTTTGGAAGGATTCACAGGATAGTATTTGAAAATCTGCATTTAACAATGTCCTGTATGACAGGAATTTGCGTTGTCTCTAAGTCAAATGAGGGTTGTTTCAATGTGACATTTGTTATAAGAAAATGCGATGCCGTCAAATTGTGCATCAAAGCATGTGTGTTACGACAACAGTTCTGGGTGGGCTTTCGCGTTTTTGCAGGGCTTTTGGCGTTTTCGGGACGAATGTACGTCTGGTACATTCAAAAAACGATAGTTAACCTTCAAACTATTGTAGTGACATACTGTATAGGAATATGATAATAAAGGAAAAAACAAATGAAGAGTCAACTCTAAGACAGATACATAGAATATATTGTCGTTCAATAAAGAGGAATTTTGAACACATGTGGCTTTGATTAGGCCATACTACGTCCAAAATCTACTTCATATTTCTTTAGCATTATGTTTTTTGATTGAATTTTATCGAAGGATAAAGTTGTGGTTTCGAGCCCAACTGTGTCGTAGAATTTTTGTTATTATTCAATTTGTTATTCGATTTGTAAGTCGCTGACGAAATTCCTAATTTTCTAGTTAAAAACGTTTTGGTATGGATTGTTAAGCCCTTTTTTGTGATCAATCTGTCTTTCTGTACTGGTTCTTTTCCAGAGCTTAAAAATGGGAAAAGTGACTCCCATACACAAGAAGGGAGAAACTACTAACGCAATAAATGACAGTCCGGTGACATATCCCTGTTGTTTTTCAAAAATTTTCGAATACTGCTTTTTGGATCGGATGGCGCTGTTCCTTGAAAGAAATGAGGTACTAACATCCAACCAACATGGTTTCCGTAACAGTAGGTCAACACTAACAGCATCTCATTCTTTCTTCAATACGCCAGTTCAGTACATTGAGACAGGCGAGTGTCCTGTTGGTATCTTTTGTGATCTAAGCAGGGCATTCGACTGCGTGATCTGTTATTGGTAACTTATAGAATCGGTGGACCAGCCTACCTCTGAATAAAGTCCTTCTTAAAAAACAGATCGCGGTATGTGTGACAATAATTCACTACTGCTCAGGACAACTAATGCAAGTCAAGTCTAGTGGGATAAATATGGATGTTGGAGTTCCACAAGGACGTGTGTTGGGGTATGTTCTGTTTGCATTACATGTAAATACCCTTAAGCAGTCCTTCCGCAGAGCACAATTTACCTTATACGCGGACGACACATCGATTACTATATCAAATAAATATGAGATAATTTCACTTTGAATAGTAATATACATACATTCAGCAGCACTACATTCATCTACCCTTTGCTCGAGATATAAGCTGGGTAGTAGATCTCCCTCTATTTTAGGACCAAAGGTATCCAATAAGCTGCCTGAGTATATTAAGACAATTAGCTCCTTAAATAATTTTAAAGCTGAGTTGAAAGCCTACTTTATTAATAAGACTTGCTACGGCATCAGCGACTTTGTGGATATTCAGATGTTCTTTTTTGTATTGTTTGTTATTAATTTATTGTTTGTCCTTTTAAATATTTTTATACTGTATTTCCGTTAATTTATTAATTTTAACTGCTGGAAAGCGAATCTGCTTTATCTGCTGTTGTTTGCCTATGGTGTCCATTTTTAAATAAGATCTAATTGTTTGTTGCTTGTTATTTTATTGTTTGTTTTTTTTATGTATATACATACTGTAAATTGTTTGTTGACGAACCCTATACATGTTTTATACATGTCTAATGGGTAATAAGTATTATTATTATAATTATTGTTATTATTATTATTATGTCTAGTCCCACTCACAGTTTCCTCTTTATCATCGACTAGGTTCACCAGACAAGATCCGCGACAGACTCCCCTGCGTCAAACATAAATACCATCCCACTTCCGACTGTGATTAGAGGCAACGTGATAAGAAACGAGCGTTCATCTCTTGTGGATCAGATAACCGGGAGCGCCATCTACCGGCGGCGCGTTGCATATCTCAACCCGCATCCCGACAGGTTCGGCGACCATCAGGTCGTAAAGCCCTCTACACACCAATAACAAACAAACGGCCTGCTGATAAGGCGACCATGCCCGTTGCGACGTTCATCTGTCTTTCACTCTAATCCGGCCGCATCTTCCGGAGTAATCCGGGGACACTAATGACGGTTCGGCAGATGAAATTACCCAGAGAGGCGATTTCTAGGTAGTTAGTAGTATTTAAAGCAACTATAGATGTCATGTTATCTGTGATTTTGATGGTTTGAGTTCTGAAAACAGTTGTGATGCTTAGCAGTAGTCGAATATTGCACATAATTGGGAAGTTTCAAGCCACTCGATATTCGGATTATGTATCTACGTACAAATTTTTTTAAATGTTTCCATAGAAAATTACAATTTCTTACTTTGGACGTCACTGGCGAGAAAGCATTATAATCGTGAAAGTTACGTTAATTACACGAAAATCATGACAAATCATGTCATTAATTTCCGTCGATCTGTTTGTCCGTCTATTTGTGTGTCTGTTTGCTGCGATATTTAGTCACTCATGATCTTCTTAATTTGAAACAATTTTTTCTAGTATCAGTCAAGCGTGCGGAGTCCCGGTACTTGCTATTTATTAGCGCCGAAAAACGTACAGGCTTGAAATAGAAAAAAATGGTGTTTAGTAATGGTTCAGATAGCGTTACATTAATTTCATTGGTACCCAAAACAAAATGTTGTTTAGGTGATGCCAAGAATATTTGTTTAGTTAATACCAAGAAGTTCATGACATGGACCCCACAAGGTTATAATAAGCAATGTTAAAAAATGGCGTCAGGTAGGATAATCTGGCACTTCCTACGCAACGCTGTCATCAGTTGATAAAGTATTATATTTGGCACAATTTAGTCCCTCTTACAAATCGGTCGTCAAATTGAATGAGAACTTACGCACCCGATTTGCCCAGGAAACGAATCCTTGTTCAAGCAAAGTAACACTTTTTACTGAAACCCAAGATTTCCTTCTAAATGGCTCCTTTTATTCGTTATCTCATATCCGCTATATCTATAGACTGGATATAAGAACGGAAAGCAATTTATTTGACTTTTATGACTCGCTGTATAGGTTCGGTTAAAATTCGCAAACAAAAATCCACATAGGAGGCGGAGTATACGCTTTTAAAATGAACCTTACATTCTGTATATAAATTCGAGAAAACAATACCTCTTGTTCCAGCTGAGCGGTTTTATTGATACAGTGCTGCTGCGGCTATATCTATATATGTTATACGTATTCGCCCACATCCGTCGTTATTTCAACGTTCCGCATGTTATTTTGCTGTATTCTACCTTTATTTACTGTACATTTACAGCAAACGCAGTATCAGAATTTCAGCCGTGCGCTGCTGCTATAACAGCTGCAGATGCAGAAAGCTCAGACTGTCATTTGTTTTGCTAGCCGAACGTAAACACAGTGAATTGTAGCTTAAAATGCGAAAACGTGATCCAGCTTACAACCTATTCGGGTAATCAATGAGTTATAGCTGCAACAAAAGTGTAATAAAATTATTTTTGAAACACCTTCATAACAATAATGTTGCATTAACCTTTCAACCAATACGTCTCTCGGCGATGAAGTATTGTAGTCAGGAAAAATGAGGAAAATGAGACATTATGATTTTACCCCATGGAAAACCATTTCACTCAATTCCGCCCGTCTGCCTGTCTGTCTGTTAATCCTTGGACCGCCTATAACTTTGGAAGTATCACTCGGATTTCGATACAATTTCCACGCAAGGTCACTGCTATGCCAATGATAAAAACAATTTGTAGCTTTTGAAGATCTATCCACGGGGTGGTGGTGTGGTATATGAAATGTTTTTGATGGTACTGTTAATACGAGTACGCTCACAGCCCCGGTAATTATATGCACCTATTAGCCATATTTCACACATCATAAGTTTTCCCGTACATTTGCCTTTAAAACCTGGAATGACAGAGAAATGTCTTCGAAACGTTATTTAAGCTCATCTCCTGGTATACCGGTCCATCCGACTCATCTATTCGTAGTGCAGTGCACAAGTGGATATGGAAA